ACTGCAGACTTCCAGGCTTCTTGCTCACCCCAATCTGTTCTTCACTTCCCTCCCTCCTGCTCCGTCCCTGACTGCTCAAGTTTTTGCCCCCATCTCATGATCTAGTTGAGGCAGATTTACCTCTCCTGCTTTGCACACATCTTCCCTTGCCCCACAAGGTATATACGCAGACCAGACGGAGAGTCCACTTGCTAAACTAAACTATCCAAAGGCTCTGGTTGCAGGTGATGTATCCAACTCGAGAGAAGACATCAAGTGAGCCTGCCTCCCCATGCCTGCTTCCTGCTCCCGCCCCCACACTGCTTTATGAATAGTCTGAGCTAGTCCTGGCACAAGCCTGCAGTGGTTTCAGCCAGGCTGCAGTGAACCATCATTGCCAATTTCTTAATGACTTCTTAGGTAGCTTTCCTAGGTATCTGGTCTCGCTTGGTGCTTTAAAATTTCTAGCTTCCTCCCCATTCCCTATAAGTGGACATGTGACCTGTGGCCCAGGGAATCTGTGGCGGAGACGAAACAAAGCTACCCTTCCTCCTGTCCATTTTTCTGGGTTGCGCTGCCCTAGTTTTTAGTGAAGAGGGATTCCTCCTTCTAAGAGGAAAAACCTCCCCCTACTTCATGGCCATCACTGAGTTTTTTTGTAAACTTTAAACACTTATTTTGTTAATTAACAATTATATTGCTGAACGACCTTGACTGTTTGAAATCGTATTAGTAAGAATGGAATATCCCATGGCTACTTGGAGAATCCAAGTGAGAGCCTGTGATACAGAGAAGCAGCCTTGTTTTTAGCACCAAAGCTTCAGATAAGGAGTTTCTAGATGCAAAATTCAGCCTTTATCTTTACTTAGTATTTTCCAAAGAAATAGGACCCCAAGTCTGGTTTTCAGCCCAGGCCCGATATTGACGTCTTTACAGAAAGCCCTGCTTTTCTTCGAGCCTATCAAACACAGCTTCATTGAAATGTTACCTGAACATCACCCTTACTCCAAATCCTATAATAACCCTGTCTCTTCTTTTGTTAGATGCCTCATACATCCTCTGGAATATGGTCTTCTTTGCTGCAGTTAGATAATAAACCTAGCTTTGTTGGGCTACAGTTTGTGAGATAAGCTTTATCACTCTATTGGATGAGACCATTTCTCTAGCTCGTGCATTCTCCATGGGGCAATATTGCCCCCCAGAGAGGTGAAAATTAGTTCTGGGGGAGCAACAAAAAAAATCTTACAATGGTTTGCAAGTTTCCAAAGGACCACACTCATAAATAGATATAGAGTGTATTTGTTGTATTAAAATTTCATGGGCAGAAAAGGGAAGGTGTTGAGTAGGAAAAAATATATAAAAAGACTCTTTACCAGACAATGATACAAAGATGAAACAGTGCTTTAGCTAATGTTGAGCAGCTTTTGGTGTTCACTGTGAGTCAGGTGTCCAATTGTTAGCTCTCTTTTGCTGCAAAAATTGAATTCCTTTGACCTCTGTCTTGGGAGATCCAACCTGGTTTGACCTTTTCTTGTACCTGTAGAACTTCCACTGGTCCCTGCGATCCCTTCACACCTGCTGGGAGATTTACAACTGTTTACTCTGCCAAATGGCGAGAATGAATGATGTACCACCTCTCTACCAATCTCCTTTCTCTGCTCAGAGGGGCACAGGGCAGCAGTCCTGGCACACACTCTCCACTCTCGGAGCACACCTGTCCCTTGGTTTTGAGAGACATGAAAAACCTCTATCATATTCCCCTCACTGCCACCCGGACAATTGCCCCAGACTCTGGCGACTTTTCATCCTCTCCACCCCCAGCCTTTTGCTTATACAGACTGGAGGTGGGGATGTGCTGGGTGATGGTTGGGGGCAGCTAAGCCAGTTAAGCTGCCTCTTATTCCCCTTTATTAACTCTGGGGAAGGGGCCAGACGGTGTTCTCTGTGGCTGACTTTAAAAAGTGGGGTTTTCAACTCCCTCAGCCTTGGGTCCTTGTTGCTGATTCTGGAATCACAGAACTCACTTTTGTTCCATTTGTTCCCACGTCACCTTTGTTCCCTTTCTGAACCACGTAGACCTGTGTTCACACTAACTTCTTAGCAGCCACCAGGCCTGAGTGCTTTGGGACAAACAAACAACTCATGCCTTCATCTCTGCACAGAGATAAGGTCTCTCTCCCTCCATCTGAGACCCGGTCCCCCACCAAGAAGAAAGCAGCTGCTAAATGCATTAATATTGAAATTCTTAAAGTTCTGAGCCCAGCCGTTTGCACACAGTCGGTGCACAATAAATGTTTTTGAACCGAAGTTGACTGAGTGCAAACAGGTACCAGCATTTCTCTGGTTGCCTTGCTGACCAACTGTTTCTCATGAATCACCTGACATTGGAAAAGGAAAAGTTACTAAATGATCATATTTCAATAAAAATAGCTTTTAAGAACATACATCAATCACTGAAGTCAACTGCACTGGCTAATTACCTTAATTTATTTTTTTCAAGAAGCATTAAATTTTTTTGAGTTTTCTTGACTAGGAAGATGTATCAATACAGATAGTCAATCTGCTTTGCATGTAGTTCTGTTTCTCATCGTGGCCTGTTGACATTTGTACTGGACAGACTGCCTCACTGACTGGGATTTGGACTGGGCCTGTGACTGCGCATGACACAAAGCTGGAGGCAGAACAGCAGAGTGGGTGAGCAGCATGGGTTTCAGAGTCAGTCAATTCTAGCTTCCTGTCTTGCTTCAATCACTTACTGGCTATAGGATCACAAGTAAGAGACTTCACCTCTCTGGGCCCATTCCCTTGTCTATAAAATAGAAATAGTAATATTACCTGCCACATGGTTATTGAGAAGATTGAAGAAGATAACATGACAGGCTTATTCCTTAAGATAGATGAGGTATTATTTTTACGCCTCCAACCCAGATCCTCTCCTAGCATATAGGGATCTCATTGTTTAGCCCCTTTCTTTCAGAGTCTAGGCATTTTATCCTCCCATCCACCGATTCTGTCTGATCTACACACACCATAAGTAACGGAATAAGGAAAGATCATTCTCTTTTGTTGCTATCAAATTTATTTAGGTAATTTTTGTTCTGTAATTTTTCTTAATTGTCTCTAAAAAATCTTAATTTATTGAAAAATAGAAACTTTCTAGAAAAGCCCATGTGAGAGCAGGATACTCCCTTGTGCCTGGAGTCTTGTGTCCCCTACTCCTGATCTGCCAGGTCAGCGGCTCTTAAGACTAGATTCTTCTCCTCTCCTGTCTCAAGTCACCAGGCAACTCCCTCGGACCCTGGACACTGCTCTTAACTCCTCCTTTATCCTCAGAAAAGCACAGGAGCGGGTCTGCTGCCAAGGGGAGCTCATTTTTCTTCAGAGCTCTCTCTCTCTCACCTTGACTACTTCCCGGGGCCTATGCCGGAGCATGTGGGGGGATGGGAAAGGAAGGGCAGTGTGGCGAGATCAAGGGATGAGCTTTGATGAGCACATCCTTAAGAAGGCTGGTGCCCACTCTGCCCTGGCCATATCAGTCCCCAGCCTGCTTCTCCCAGGTCCTGCCTGACTGGAGCTAGGAACTGCCCTGTGGATGATATGTCTTTCAGTCTGGCCACTTGACCACCCCCTTCACAGCCCTCCTAGAGTCCACTACCTGTTCTCTGCATTGGACAGCACCTGAAGCTGCCTCTTTCCTTCATGCTTCTCCTTCAGTTCCACCCTGCCCTTTTGCCTCCAAGGGCTCCAGGTCCCAGTCCGCCTCCCCAGTAGCCCTTAGAAGTCAGCTTGGAACCTAGATGATGAGAAGTAGTAGACCAGGGGGTCAACACAAGAATTCAGGGTGCTGAGGAGCAGCATGCAACTTCTCCATGCCGGGCACTTGCACCAGATGTAGCCTACGACATGGGACACATTGTAGGGCCCAAAGCAGATGAAGGAGTTGACCAGTGTGGCTGTCACTAGCCCTGCCACCATTTTCTGATGGCAATGGTTGGCTCCCCTATTGAGCATGCACACCAGGCGGTGTAGCAGTAGCTGGCGATGGATGATAGGGTTACCCCAAAAAGGACCACAGCCATCTTCAGCTGTACGGCCAAGAGAACGGCCAGCTGGTCCTCCTGGAATTCCAGGTAGCAGGTGCCTTTGGTACCCTGACTGCGGGAGGAGTTCGTCAAGAATTCGGTGATGTAGGCCACGCTGCAGAGCTCAGCGGCCAGGAGCCAGTAGGCCCCCTTGGCCATGCCAGCTTGTCCCAGCCTTGGCCAGGCCTTGTACCACAGCAGGTAGGCCACACTCAGGAAGCGCTCGATGCTCACAGCTTCCAGGAAAAGGGAAGCGAGATAAATGGTGGTAAAGAAGAGGAATCTGGAGAAAGGGAAGAAGATGAAGGTCAGGGGCCAGCGCATGCCGTTGGCTGCCTCCACCATGTGGAACAGCAGGAAGAGCAGCAGGAGCAGGTCCGAGAGAGTCAGATTCAGCAAGAATGCGTCCATGTCCACTGGGTGGTGTTGCAGCTTGCCCACGAAGATCACCAGGGATACCAGGTTGAGGGAGAGTCCCACAGGAAGGTGAAGAGGTACTGGTTTGTGTCCATGGTGATGGCCACTGTGGGGGGGTGGGGCGGAGAGAGAGAGTGTGAGAGAGAGAGAGAGAGAGAGAGAGAGAGAGAGAGAGAGAGAGAGAGAGAGAGAGAAGGTGGTAATGAGGGTGGGAATCTTGCACCAGCAGCATCTCAATTATCCACAGAGAACATTGTCACCACCCCCACTTCCTCATGCCCCCTGATGCTTCCTGCTTGTCTTCTGTTTCTTCTCCCAGTAAGCAAACACCAGGGCATCCCTTCACATAGCCCCTTAGGACCCCGCGATCACCTGCTTCTTTGAGAACCCAAGAGCTCTGCCTCTCAGCTCCTCCAGAACATGTGCAGTTAGCTATTTATCTGGCAGAACTGACTAAGATCTGACAGTGCCCATGACATCACTAGCTGCTCAGCAATGGCACAAAAGATTCCTTTAGCTCTGTTAGCAGAGCTGCACCATGTGCAAAATGAGGAACAAATTCCACAGCTGCAGACTTTGCTCCTAGGGCAGCCTAGGATGCCCTAACCAGGCTGGATGGAGCAAGCTTCATCTTTCCCTTCCTGATCCTTCACCTGCACTTTATCTGCTCCTCTAGAAAGGCACTCATCCAGTTTGCTTTGTAAGGGCAGATAGCACTATGCTGTGATGGGGAGCGTGGGCTCAGGAGCCAGAGGCCCAGGTTCAATGCTGGCTCAGTCACTTATTAACTCTGATGTGGGGCAAGTGACTTAAGCTCTCTGAATCTCTGCTTTCTCAACTGTAAAACGGAGATAATCATAGTACCAGTCTCATAGGGTTGTTGTATAGATTAAAGCATTAATACATATCAAATGCTTAGAATGGAGCCTAGCATGTTACAGTGAGCACTTAACAGATGTTAGCTGCCATCATCCCAGTCACTTGTGTGGGCTTGTATCTGGGGTAGTCATAATAATAATAATAATAATAATAATAATAATAAAACAACAACAACAACAACAACAGCAACGATATTAACAATGATGATGATGGTGATGATATTAGCAGCTACCTTTAAGCAGGCACATAATCCATAGCAGATACTCTGCTTCTCAGGGCATCTCATTATGTCTTAAAATCCTTGTGCCTCACAGTGTGGAAGAGACTTGCTCCAGGTAACACAACTTGCTAAAGTATCACCACCAGAGTTCAAATGCAAGTGCTGTCCAGCTTCAGAGATTATTTATTTATTCATCCAAATATTTACGAAACACAATGAGATACCATTTCAGTCACATCCCACTGGAATTGCTGTGAACCCCAAATCAGATGATACCAAGTGTTGGTGAAGACATGAGGAATGGGAATCCTTACACATCGCTGGCAAGAATGGAAAGTGGTGGAGTCACTTTGGAAAGCAGTCTGATAATTTCTTAAAAAGGCAAACATAGATTCACCTTGTGACCCAATTCTACTATAGGTATCTAAGAGAAATGAAAATGCATGTCCATACGAAGTCTTGCTCATAAATGTTCAAATAGCATTAGTCATAATAGCCAAAAAGTGGGACCGTCACCTGGTGGTCCATCAGCTAGTGCATGAATAAACCAGGTGGCATATCCAGACAACGGAACATTATTTGGCAATAAAAGAGAAAGAAATGCCCAAATGACATTTAACATGAGTGAACCTCAAAAACTTTATACTCAGCGAAACAAGCCAGACATAAAAGGCCATGTATTGTGTGTTTTCATTTATATGAAATGTCCAGAATAGGCAAATTTATAGAGACAGCAAGTAGATTACTGGCTGCCTGAGGATTGGGAATAGAAATGGGATTAACTATAAATGAACATGAGGGATCTTACTGGGGTGATGAAAATGTCCTAAATTGGATTATAGTGATAGTGGCACACCTCAGTAAATGTACTAAAAATCCTTGAATTGTACACTTAAAATGGGTGGATTTTATCATATGTAAATTTTATCTCAAATAAGTTGTTAAAAGTACAGCAGTGAACCAAACAGAGTTTTTGCTGTCATGGTGCTTACCTTTGGTGGTGAGGGTAGGGGACTAAGGGGTGGGAGAATGGTAAAGACATCAGTGATGCAGAGACAGAGACCCCCTGGAGGAAACATTGCAGGCAAGAGGCATGGCGAGTGCACAGGCTTAACCTACTGTGGGAAGTGGCAGAAGGTTTAGGGCTCAAGGAGTGAGGGTCGGGAGAGGATGTTGGGGGCAGATTATGAAAGTCCCATGGGCCCCAGGGAGGAACTGAAATCTCCCTTACGCGGAGGAGTCACGAGTAAGTGGAAGAGGTGGCCTAGTGGCAGTTGCCCCAGAGCAGTGGGAGAGAGAGTGGTTCCCAGCACTGTGGGAGGGGCAGTGGGGCTGCCTGGGCTTTTGTGAGAATTCTCTGGTGCCTGCACTGCACAGAGGGGAATCTAGTTGCTGGCTGCCACAAAGCCTCAGGAAAGCAGCTTAATTTCTCTGGCCTGTTTCCATATGTATAAAACAAGTAATAAACTTTCTTTAGAGGGCTGTTGTGAGCATTCGTTCATTCGACAAACATTTACTGAGAGCCTACTGTGTGCTAGGCTCTCTTTTAGGTGCCGGAGCTATATCAGCAAATTAAACAGAATTCCTGGCCCTTGGAGACATTTAAGCATGAGAGAAGATAATCTGTTTAACCAGTTTGCACCCACTGGACACGTAGCTACCACCCTTAGGTGCTTCTATACGTTCATGGCATTATTGTCATTAAAGCAACGTGTCTGCTTCCTATACCCAGCCTCGTCAGAGCAGATGCCCAGCGTCTATCTCTGTCGCAGCCACTGTCCTCTGCCTGCTCTCTCGTGGGTTCAGGGTGCCACAATTCACCTTTGAAAACTGGACCCCTAGGACAGGTATTAACTCAATACCCCAAGTCTTGCAAATGTCCCCCGACCCTTGGGGGTTCTGTTTTGAAGGATCACTTTCCATATCTACCCCTTCTTTGCCTTGGGCAAATTTCTTCACCAGCAAAATCAGGATGATAATGGTACCTGGCTTCAGAACTGTAGCTAATTCACTTAGTGCCTTTGTGCAAATTAGGACGAGTTACCTCCTCCAGGCAAGCACGTCCCACTGTGCACCAAGGTGCGCTGTTTGAGGAGTGGATGGCGTCTTTACTCAGATTAGAATAAGATGTTGCTTCTCCTGGATGGAGGAGGCCCCAAGCCAGGCACCTGGCCTGGTGAGCAAAGCACAGGCTAGAATTTAGTCAGTGTTTGCCTCTGCCTGACACCCTCATACAGGGAACAACTTGCCCATCTGTACAGAAGCTGCGTGGCTAAATCAAAGGATTGTGTGAGGATGAAATGAGGCAGCAACACTTGTAAAGTGCTTGGCATGGTGACTGTCACGTATTAGTGACTCTGTATTTGTTTGCGACCATTCGTGGTGTTGCTAGTGTTTTCCCCTCCCGGCTGAAGCATCCCTCCCAACTTCCTGTTCACAGTTCTAATGCTGCCCCCTTGTGAGCTCCAGATAGTATTGCAGCGTCATTATTTGCCTCCTGCCTCCTCTCATTCAGATATTAAAATGTTCTTTCCCAGGAAATGATTTCGAATTAGTATCTCCCAAAGTGTATCATCAGAGTGGCGTTTCCCCTAAATTAGAAGCAAACCTTCCTCCTCCTTCCCCACAGTGAAAGACCTCTGCGCATAGAACACTGGCTGACAGGCAGGTAAGGACCGAGGAGAGGCAGAGGTGGGAGGAGGTGTTGCTGCTCAGTGTGCAGAGGCAAATTTACCTTTCTCCTGCGACCCAGCTCCTGGCCTTCATTCTTCTTTCTGACTGGGATGCAGTCTTGCCAAGCTCAGTTCTTTCCATAAGTGGCTCCGGGAGTGTACCCAGGCAAGGCTGCCCTGCAGTTCCTTTGGAGCAGTCCCCACCAGGGTCCTGGAGAAGCAGCCCTGCTCTCCTGCTGCGTGTCCCTCCCCCGCCAGCAGTGGCTACTGCTTCTGAGAAGTACCCCCTTTTGTTCTTGCCACACATGATGTCCCCCGGCCAGCCCCCCGTCCCAAATAGCCGGTCACCAATGGGTTGAGCACGACACTCCAAGCACCTGTGAGGAGCCCCAGCTTCCGCCAGCAGCCTCCCAAGTCGGGGTGCAGGAAGCCGGCCACATTGGAGGCATTGTAGGGTCCCAAGCAGAGCAGCAGCGTGAGTAGGGCCCCACCAGCCACCCAGGCTGCTCTTAACTTTCGTCTGTGGCTCAGGCCTGAGCTGACCAGTGCCCGGAGGCAGCCCACATAGCAGAAGGCCGTGATGATCAGGGGCAGAAAGAAGAGCAGGAGAGAGAGGCTGAGGCGAGCAGGGCCCGCCGAGGCTGGGTCCCAGGCCTCCAGGCAGACTGGAGAGCCATTGACTGGCGTGTTGATGCCTAGGGAGCTGGTGGTATTGTCCATCCAGCCTCCTGGTGCCTCCAACCCAAAGACCAGCCCCAGGTGACAGAGGACAAGGGCCCATATGGCCACACACACGCCCCAGGAATAACAGGGCCTCCGGGCAGCTTGGTACCCCAAGGGGAAAGCAGCTCCTAGGTAGCGGCCGGCACTCAGGGCGGCCAGGAAGCCACCGCCAGCATAGAGTGGAGCAAAGTGGGCCAGGGCAAAGACAGGACAGAGCAGGGCTGGCAGAGGCCAGGTTCCAGCAGACAGGGACTCCACCGCCTTCAGGGGCAGGGAGGCTGCCAGCAGGAGGTCTGAGCAGCTTAGGTGAAGGGCATAGACAAGGCTGGGGGTGAGGCGAAGCCGTGCGCGGGCCACGGCGCCCCAGATGGCCAGGATGTTGAGCGGGAAGCCCAGCACAAAGGCGGCCACATAGAGAGCGAAGGAGAGCTGCGGGGGCAGGTGCATGGGGCCTGGAGGCTTCCTCAGCCCCTGTGCTCGCTCGTTCCCTGCCTTCAGGTTGTGGGCCTGGGGAGGGGGTCTCCTGGAGTCACAAACTGGTCCCAGCACTGCTCAGGGTATTTGAAGCCACCTGGAGACGGAGGCCCATCGAGGGAGGTGGCAGCCAGTTAGCCGTGGAGCCTGGACGAGAAGAGAGACTGCTAACCTCCAGTCCTCTGCTTTCTTTTCACGATATCTCCTCTTAAAATGAAGAGCGTGATCGTAGAGTAACAGAGGACAGAATGAAAGCATGCAGGTCCCAGAACAGGGAGGGCTGCTTGATTTCTGAGACTCTGGGGACAGAAGGGGTAGAAAGAATTAAAATCCGAGTTGGGCCTGACGGTATGTGTTTTTCTAAGGAATAGAAGTTAGAATCCTTCTTTCATTCCCCTCCCTCGCAATTCTCTGGAAAGATAACGGGCTGCTCCCCCTAAGGGAAGAGCCTGCCCAGCAGTGGGGGTGTAGTGGTGGTGACAACTTTTAGCCAAGAGAAGGAGAAGTTGGGGTTGGGTAGGGTGGAGGTTGTGGCAGGTGGAGGGTATCCCCAGGGGAGAGGCCAAGGGAAGCCAGTTCCCGTCACATCACTGAGAATGACCTTAGTTGACTTCAAGGGCACCCTAAGCAGGGGGATGAGGAGACTGGGAAGTAATTGGTGGAGAGAGGAGCCACAGGAAGAGGGACTCACCTCTTGGTGCTGCCAGACGTCTCTGAGGGAGGACAGGCTGAGGGAGGGAGCCCGAGATGGGCAGTGAGCCGGAAAGGGGAGAAGGGCGGGTGGCAGGGCCATTAGCCCGCAGCACTAGCAGCCTGGGTGAACAGCTAATGGGGCCTCTCCTGCTGGAGCTGAGGCCAGACTGGAAGGAGGTGAGGGTTCACGATGACGTGAACACAGAAAGGGGAGAGGGCAGAAATGTGGGCTCTTTCTGGGTAGAGTGCCTAGTCAGCAGCTTGGAGGAGCAGGGTCGGTGGGATAACCGGAACACAGCTTTATCCCCTACCCAGCTTCTTCAAACCTACCCTGGAGCCAAGTGTTCCCTACTCCCGGAGAAGCTCTTGGGCAGGCCCCAGGCCTCCAGAATGTTTAAGTCACCCGCACTGTCTCCACTTGGTCATTGGTATGTGGGATAATGAGATAACTGTTCCCAGGTAGGTCACAGGCCCTCCCTGACATGCACAGGTGTGGGCACTTGTGTCCAGGTGAGCACTCCTCTATGTTCTCTCTCCTTCCTCCCTCTGGCTTTATGACACTGGTTTCTGACTCTTCCAGCGTTGGCAACAAGGGGAGGAGAGACAGGGACAAACGAGGTTTCATTTGGCAGCACTGCAGTAACCGGGCTGTCTCCACTCGGCCTGTCTGGGCTGCGTGGATGTCAGAGGGGACTCTTCCCTAGGCACTTGTGGGGACATTGACCGGCACTTACTGAGGCACAGGGCGTGCCCCAGCTGGTTGCTTAGCTTTCTTCTCTCAGCCTCTGGGGATTCACCCACTTACTTACCTCCTGCTGGGTTCACCTGCCCTTCCAGGAGGAGCTCAGTGAGATTTAAAATGGCCCAAATCTGTCTCTGTAGTCGTTGGTCTGTCAGTCTCTGACTGAGCATGTGTCTCCCTATCTGTCTATCTCTCTCTCATTCTCTCTCTCTGATGCCTCAAACTGACAACACAGTTTTCTTGGGTATGTGTGTCAGTCACCGGGCCTATGCCCCTCCCAAATTCCAAGTCACCCTAAACAAGTAAATTAGCTTCTTTGGGTGGTTTTCTGAGAGTGCTTCTCACCAGGCTGAGTCAGGTGGGGGCAGCATATCAACAAGTGCCTCCAAAGAAATAATCTACACTTTTTTTTTCTACATCAGTCACTAAATTGGTTCCTGGTCCCCTCCCTTCCATGTCCCAGATATGTGGTCCACCTCCCTAAGAATGTAGAAGAAATTGCCACCTGTTTTTCAGTATTTTCTCTTTGGGAAACACTGACGAACTGACTGAACCAAGGGAAAAATCAAGAGGCCATTTCACCTCCTGTAACAAGCATTTGGGAGAAGAGCAAAGTCAGGCATGCAAGGAGACATCAGACCGTCAGGATCTCTGCTTCAGCCCTGCAGACCTGGCGGTTCAGGTCTCCGACCAGTGCCGCCTCCTGAGAGGGCCTTCCTTGATCCCTCCATCCAAACAGGCCCCTCCCCTGCTCCAGTCCCTCTGTGTTTATTCAGAGCACTCACAGCTTGGGACATCAGATTCTCTGGCTCCTCTGCTAGAATGTTGGTCAGTGAGGGCAAAGATTTCTGTCTGCTTTGTCCACTGCTTGTTGCACACATAATAGGGGGTTCAGAGAGTTGAATGAATGGTCAACTGTTTGGGCCCTGGGAGGACGGTGAGATCTGGGGCTGGGGAGAGGGCTGCCTGCGGTCTAGAATCTCCGGCCCCAGAGCTTCCCAGCCACCTGCTGTGCATATCTCAGCGGTGCCTGTTGATGGCCACATCTCCTGGTCAATTGGTCATGAAGTAGATTTATGTCAACAGCTGGGCTCAGGGACAGGGTGGGAAGGCATCACAGGTTGCCAGGGAGCCTGTGCCAGGCCTTATCAGGCTCAGGGCTGCCTTCGGCTCCTTCAAGGGGACCCCACTCTAAAACCTTTTGGGTACCCTAGATTAGAGATCTCCAAATTAGGACTATGTCTTATCTTTTTTGACACCCCAGTAACTGGCTCTGTGCTGGAAGCATTAACAGGTGCTCAGTAAATGTTGGCTGAATGAATGGTTGAATAAGACTGGACCTCATTTTCAATACACAATCTCCCCCGCCGCAAACCTTTCCCTTCTCATTTAAGCCTTTCTTAAAAGTCTCCCCTTCCTCCAGAAAAGCAGATAGTGCCCTCACAGGAAATCAAACTGGGGAAGAAGTGAATTGATGAGGAATCAATGCCTTACTCTCAGAATTCTGAGGATGACCAGAACCTCCTCTTCTCTTGGAGAGGGTTCTAGTATCGAGCAGATGGGAAAGAAGGGCAGGAAAAGAAGGTGGCACTTTCGAAGCACCCGCCACAGGCCAAGAATTTTACGGTCCTCTTCCGGCTGATTGATTAGCCACATATTCCTGCCCCAACGGAGAATACGCCTTAGGCCATCGGCAGAAGCAGGAGAATGGGTGCAGAGAGATCAAACCTGAGAAGTGGAGGGGAAGCTGAAGGGACCAGCTGGGAAGTCGGAATCAGTAAACATAAGAAGGAACTGGTTGGGGTGACAGGGGAAGGCAGAAAAGCTATGACGACTGGCCTTCCACAAGCTCTTAGCTGTGAATTGTGAAAGAAGTTGGCAGGGTCAATTTTGAGAATAGCTGTGAGTAAAGAATTGGCTTTCTCTTTTTACTTTCTTCAAAAGATGCAAATAAGATGAGAATTTGGTTTTTAGGGACTTTTGGCTATTATGAAAGACTTATGCATCACTTCCTATCTTGAACTAGCTGCACGGTAGCTAGTGGCGTCTCCATTTTAGAAGAAGAAACCAAGGTTCAGATAAGCTGGTGAACTTTTCCCACAGTCGCTGGGCTAGTCAAGTAGAAGAGTCAGTCTCAGAGTCAGACCCAGTGCACGCTTTGCCAAAAGAGAACAAAGTCTCCAATCTGCTGATTTGATCCTGAAGTTACCTGGACTCTTTTCCCTTCTCCCCAGGCCCCATGGTGCCTCCTCCATGTTCTCATCCCACTCTGATTCCACAGACTAGAAATAGCTCACTGGTTTTTCAAAGTGATATCTTAGCCATTTTTATTGTGCAGCTCCGTGTTCGTCACATGTTTGTCCACATGGGTGTATGTCTCAGACCCCGAGGCCTCGGAGGGTGGGGCTGCAGCGGTGTGAGCCCGTCCATGGAATGCCTCGCTGGCAGGTCGAGGAGAAACCAGCATGAGACAGTGCCTCTTTCTACTTCACTTCTGTCCCTTTCTCTGGGTTTTGCCCCAAAGGTAGAAATTAGGCATAAGATTAGTGAGTGGGGTTATCTGAATGGGATGGGGCAGGAGGGTGTCAGGGGATGGGGAGGGAAAGAATAAAAACTAGGGACAAAGCTGATCCCAGCAGGGACTCAGCCAGCTGGGCATGAGGTTTTGGAGAGGGTGGGTAGTGACAGAGGGGCAGGGAATTTGTCCAGTGCATGCGAGGTGTTTAGATGAGTTTCTGGGTGGGAAGGAGAGTGGGAAAAGGCCAGCGGCAGGCCTTTTGGACAGTTGGCGTTACCAATGCTGAGAAGGAAGACTATCTCTGGGCCATGCCCAAATCTCTGTAGTGACCGGGGGTGCAGTAATTGTGTGTGTGTGTGTGTGTGTGTGTGTGTGTGTGTAGAGGGAGACTGCATGGAAAAGCTCCATGATCACCGGACCCCTGCAACTCCTCGGCACTTCTGCCTCAGCCCATTTGCAAGTCAGCGTTTGAGGGTCACATATTCCACCCCTTCGTGGTCCAGAGGCCGCTCCCCAGCCCCAAAATGAACCAGCTCCGAGTAATGTATCTCCTCGTCTTCTGGAACATCTGGAGTCACATTCTCATAGTCGCCCTGAGAAAGGTACGTTGTGGTCAGCTTGGCCTCACGGTCGCCAGCCTCCCACCATCTGCTTTCTCTGCCCACTCTCTCCTTGACTCCACTGGGGGCTTAAGAGCCTGAGCAGGAGTCCTCTTGTCCAGAAACTGGCTGCTGTTGGCATCTCAAACTGGGAGGTGCCTGCCCTGGCTCTGACCACGGCTGGGCCTCAGCAACCTTCCCACCGCCCAGCTTTTGCCACCACTGAGTCCACCCAAGTCTCCTCATCTGGCCCCACTCCCCCACCTTCCATAGCCCTGCCTTCTTACCACCTGACGCTTGTGCACCACAGAGTAAGTAACTGTATCGTCTCTGTTTAGGGAAAGTCTCGGCACCTCTGAGGTCCCTGCATCTCTGAAAGGAGGGCAAATGGATGACCACAAACGAAGCATTTCTCACAAAGCTGCCTCCTTCTTTCAACTTCCCTAGACCCCAAGAGCACCCAGCCTCCCAGCCCCTTATTATAATGCCTAATGCTCACAGTAAGTAGGAGCTAATGTGTCAAATGAGTGGGTGGATGGATGCACCGCACTCTTAACCTGGGCAATAGAGACTGACTCTGGGCACACATGCTCCTGGCTTGGACAGGTCCAATTCCTGAGACCATTACCCACCTAGGGGGAGGGTGTTGTTATGGAGCCGGAATGAGGAAATGGTATATGATGGTGCCTGGCACAGGCTTGGCACAAAGATGGCAGGTGGGACACGAGCTTTTCCTCCCACAGCCCTCCCAGGGTGTGGGTGTCACCCTCCCAGGACCGTCAGTACCCAATCCTTGGCGTGTTATTCTCAGGAAAGTTCAAGACAGCGTAGCTGATGGCGTCTTCCATCACCGGATTGTAGCAGCCCAGGGAGTGGGGGCCTTCAGAAAGGGGGGCCCTTCTAATCTGGGAGAGAGACAAGGTTTCAGCTCTCACCCCTCCTTTCCCGACCCTCGCTCCCTCCCCCTGGCCTCTGGCACCCCAGGCCTCCCCACAGGACTCTTCTCACCCTGCTTCACTTGGTTTCTTTGCTTGAATTCAGGTCCGCCCTGAATTTCATCTTTCTCCATCCTACCTTTTTATTCCTCACGAAGAAGCTCTGCCCACTGGAATTTTCCTGAAGGCCCTGCTGGCTCTGAATCCTCCTCCAACTAAGAAATAAAGACCCACTCGATGAGTATTAAGGGATGGGAAGAGCCTGTGGAACCGGCAGGCTGAGGCCTATAGGACTGGAGTTGCAAGAATGACCACGGAGAGGGAGGGGGAAGGGAGGAAAAGGAGTGGGAGGGAGATGAAATGGGAAGGGGAGGGAGCGAGGGGGAAGAGGGGTAGAAGGGGAAGCGGGGCAGCAGGAAAGCTCACCTTTGCTGAAACTTGACTCCCCAGATGGCCAGGAGGAGGATGGCCAGGCAGAGCCCCACGCCCAGGGCCACTCGCCTGCTGATGGTCTCTGGGCTATCTGACGGAGAAAGGAGGACTGTCAGTTGATGACACGGCCTCAGTCAGATACCAGTCCGCTCTGCCCTGAGGCATTTGCCTGGTGGGCATACTTGACTTCTCTTTGCAGAGCCCCCCGTGCTTTTGCCTGCAGGGCTTCTGCACCCATGAGGATGTGATGCAGAGGAAGAGGGAGAAGCCAGTCTCTGCCCTCTAGACCTTCTATTAGGAGGAAAGGGCTAGAAGCTCCTGCTTTGTGTCAGGCCCAAGCACACACAGAGCATGTAACCTTCACAAATGGGTACAACCTCTTCAGAGGGCAGTTTGGCCACACTATCGGAACTTCAAATCGCTGTGCTTGGACCAGCAATTCCATGTAGGAATTTATCCTGCGACTACCCTTGCAGGGGTGTCCGGCGCAAGAGACAGCACACGCCTCGAGGAGGGCACTGGGTACATAAGTCATGTAGCATCCGTACGCGGGAATACAACGCAGCCCTCAGAGCAAGAGGCAGTCTTCCAGGGTGTCTGCAAAGTGGAGACCCAGGGAACATGTTTTTATATAACATGTTACATTTCCAAATAAGACGCTTGGGCTGTTCCCTTTAGTGTCCAGCTTTGTAGACGATGAGCCTCTAAATTAAAAACCATGGCTCCAATCATAAATCTGAAAGCGTATAATAAATAAATTAAATATCTACCCTATGTTTCCAGACTCTTTAGACACTGTATATGCACACTCTTCAAGTGGTGTTGTTACATGGAAAAAAAGAAAGTTCAGGGCAAAGTGTGAGCCCTGCCACCATTTGTATAACAAAGAAGGGTGTGTAGACAGATGTATAGATGCATATTACTCTCAGAGAGAATTCTCAGTAAGGAGACATAAATGGCTGCCTGCCAACCGTGAAGGCCATGAGCTGGAGGGGAAAGTTCTCGGGGAGCAAGAAAGGAGAGGTGTCTGTCTTTCCACTATTTATCCTTTCATGCCGTTTTAATTTTTTACCTTGTGCTTATATGGTCTTAAAAAAAAAAACAACCCACAAATCTCAAAAGATAAAAACAAGTGTGAGACAGAGAGAGGGAGCCAGTAGGTGCTCAGGGTGTCTGGAAGGTGGGGACAGCCTGAGAGGGAATCCTCCTGGAGATGTCAGGGGAGACAGGCGAGTTACGTGGAGCAGGGCTGTGCCTTTGCGCACACAGGCTGGGCTGGCCTGGCAGGACAGGGAAGGAGTGGGTAGGGAAGAAGGGGTAGGTGGTCCGGAACGCACAGCCTTGGACGAAAGACACAGGAGTGACCAAGGCCAAAGAAGCAGAGAAAGAGGGCCTTACAGTAGACAGTAAGGATGCTGGGGGGCGACTGGCCCACACCCAGTTGGTTGGCCGCCTGGCACCAATAGGCGCCTGAGTGCTCAACTTTCACAGGATCCAATCTCAGTATCTGATCATAATGGTGGAGCTTTTGGTTATTCCAGTCAAACCAGGTGTACTGGGAGATGGGAGGGTTGGCATCACTTTCACACGTCAGGACTGCCCTCTTCCCCTCCATCACACTGTCTGTCGGACTCATAGACACCCACAGCCTCCTAGGTGCATCTGTAAAGAGAAGCAAAATCAGAGTCCAGGTAGCCAGTCACCTGCCCTTCTCTGCTCTCAGCTTCCAGCTCCAGCCACTCACATAGCACCTGGAGCATCCAGGTCTCAGATGTGCTCTGTCCTATGGAGTTGTTGACCAAGCAGTTGTAACTTCCAGCATCTTCTGGAGAGATGGAGTCAAAGCTCAGTTCTCTTCCTTCCTTTAAAAGGATTCCATTTTTCTTCCAGAAGAAGCGGACGTCTGTGGGATGGCTACTTGAGAAGTTACATTGGAGGAGAACGCGGTCCCCAGAGTGAATCTCAGAATGCGGGATGATGGATAGGACCTTGACACCTTTGGGAGCATCTGGAGAACAAGGGCCTCAGGCTGACCTCTTGGGTCCTGTTTTTCTTCCTGTCCCCAGGACTTCCTTTCCCCTTGGCCTTGAGGCCTGACTCTCATCCCTCAATTCACTGTGAAGATTCTGGTCTAGGCTCCAGTCTTTACACCGTATCCCACCTGGGCCACCTCCCAGATTCCCCTGCCCACATCACTCACACTTGATATGCAGGTTGACAGGGGCAGCCCACGAACACCATGTGTTACAGGCTGCGCAGGTGAATGGCCCGGCATTCCAGGAAACTTTTTGAATCGTCAGCACCCCAGGTACGAGTTCATTCCAGGAGCCTCGGGGACTCCATTCATATCGGATAACTCTGGGGTTACTGGAAGTGTAGTTACAGGTCAGGGTCACATTGTCTCCTTCTCGAATTGGCGTGGGGTTTTGAAGCACTATGGTTACCTCCTTGGGGGCATCTGAGACAAAATCAGAGAAATGGGTAGCTGAAATAGGAAAAGTCAACTGTCCATAATACCTGTTCCTTCCTGCTTCCTCTTTCCCCCGATCTGCGCCCTGCCTCCACACAGTTCCTAGATTAACCAGAGGAAGTCTCGCGCTTTCCTCTTGCATCTATGTGAGGACAGGAACCCTGCCCTGCCCATTTGGCCTGGTTGTGGTTAGAGGCAGGAAGGCACGGTGGTTAAGAGCAAGCTCTGACAGAGAACACGTGGTGCTGTTTGTGGGTCTCTGCAAGGGTCTAGGGTGCAGAGCTGGGTCCCTGCAGCATGGCAGCTAACAACAACAACAACAACAACAACAACAACAACAACAATAGTAAAGCACAGCTCTGGAGCCAAAACTGCCAGACCCTACCGCTTAGAGCTGTGTGACCATGGGCTGCAGGCCTCAGTTTACTCATCTGTCAAAGGGGGTCCTAAGAGTACCTAATGGAATTGTAGCCAGGACAAAATAAGATGATAGCCTTAGATCCGTGCGGTGTGTAGGAAACGCTGCCGCCGCTGCTGTTATGTACCTGGCTGTCTAGATGTTTGCGATTTAGACATTCCCATCAGCATATCTGGCGCAAACTATGACGTCTCAGGGTCCAAGGATCCAAACTGTGGATTCTCTTTGTTCTGAGCTCAGCTTAGTGACAAAATTCACTGTGTTAAACGGGGTCTGATGCTGGAGAGGTAATGAGACATTTCGCCTTAGTTCTCCTCGAGAATTTCAGGACCCCTTCTGGGACTCAGCCACTGCCTGGTGACACCAAGTCTCCATGTCCATCATGAAGCCCCAGCATCATTCAGGTTATTCATTCAACAAACATCTACTGAGCACCTACCATGAGCCACACCCTGTTCTGGTGCTGAGAATCTAACTGTGAACAACAACAGAACACCTGCTCTGAGAAGCTTACACCTCAGGGGCACCTCTGAGAAGAGCCCCTGGCTTCTGCTTGCTGTCCATTCTAGGACCCAGGCATCTACTTTCCTCCTCGGCCCACTTCCATCTTCTCCGTCTAAAACCCAGAGGCTCTGTGAATACTCACACTGGATGTCCAACTCAGCGTCCCGGCTCATTGGTCCAGAATCAACGCTGTTTTTTGCCAGGCAGGAATACTTCCCAGCATGGCTGAGGGAGACCTTCGAGATGTGGATGGTCTCGTTTGTGCTTCTCCAGATTTCAGTGTTATTGTGATACCAGGTATAATCTGTTGAAGGAGGATTGGCCACTGCCATGCAAGTCAGCGCTACTCCAGTTCCCTCCCTAGCTGGTGAGGATTGGATCTGAACCCAGGAAAGTCTCGGAGCATCTGGAAAAAGGTGTAGAAGCAAGTGGCATGGGGGTGAGCAGTGACCTCTGCCGGCCTCTCAAGGGCCTTGCTTCCATCCACGCTAACACCCTGCCTGCCCCTCCCCAGCTCCCGGGAGGCTCACAGAGCACTTGGAGGGCCACTTGTGAATGTCCTGAGCCGATATCATTTTGGGCCTCACAGTGGTAATCTCCACTCATATCCTTGGTCACTGAGGGCAGAGTGAGTGTGACCATCTTCTTCTCCCTCTGCAGTGTTTCCTGCTCTTCCAGTCGGTTCCCATCCTTGAGCCAGAATATAGTCCAGTACTCTGGGTTGCTGCTGATGATCTGGCACGTCATGGTCACTGAATTTCCCTCTTTTACAATGGCATCTTCAGGGCTGACCTTGATCTCCAACTTTGGGGTGTCTGGAGGAGCAAAGGTCAGTGGTGGAGGGGACAGAGAATTCTCAGAGGCTGTAAAGAGGTGAGAAATTGTTGGGCTTTTCTTCTGATAAAGCAGCAGCCTACACATAGTGTGTGGGTGCGTGCAGCCTTGTCCACAAGCACTGACTGGTGATGGTCACGGCCTCTTAACTCCTCTCTCTGCTTCCCTGCCTACCCCAGTCCCTGAAGGTCTGGTCTCCATCAGCAGCCAGCAGCATTTCCAATTCTGTCAATCAGAACTTGTCACTGCCCCGCTTGAAACTGTTCAGTGGAGTCCACAGTTAGAATAAAATCCAAAATCTTCAAGCGCCCGTCCTCATGGCCTTCCTTTCCTACACTGGGTCCCTCAGACACAGCGCTGGGGCTCCCTGTCCCCCTGCCTATTACGAACACAAGTGCCAACCTCAAAGCCCTTGTCCTTGCTCTTTCTTCTCTCTGGAATCGTGAATATACCTACCTGCCTTCACTCAACTCTCAGCTCACCTTCACCTGCCTCACAGAAGTCTCCATCCCTCATGCCCTCTGCCCCAGCCCTGCTTCATTTTTTTCTTAATATACTTAGCACCACCTACAGTTATGTTCTCTATTTCTTTGTTGATCTATTTATTGTTTGTCTCTCCTGCTGCAATGCTAGCTCCACGTAGGCAAGAGCCTTGCTCACTGCTGTCTCCCTGGCAGCCATAAAAGGTCTGGCGCCTAGTAGGTTTGCAATAAATATCTAGTGAATGAATGAATGAGGCACAAATAATAATGTGAAAATATTCCTCAAACCCCGCCCCCCTCCCCCACAAAGGAGAAAAAATATACCTAAGCAGATGATCCCAAATCATGTCATGGCTTAAGGATGGACGAAATTATTTTATTCTGTTAGACAAAAGCAGAGGCTAAAATGAATCTGTTTCCTGACACACCAGGGCTGACAACAGAGATGGTGGAGGAGAAAACACAGCTCTGCCTGGGCCATCCCCAGCTGCAAGGGCCCCAAACTGACTACGCTTCCTTCTTTGGAGGCTCCTGCCACCCTGGGTGCTCACTGAGGAGCTGGGGAGAAGGGGACAGGTCTTTCATTTTCCCCATAGGAGCTTGGGGGAGACTCACGCTTCACATCCAGCTGCACGGTTTTGTAGGAGAGCAGCCCGCCTGCATTGTCATTCCAGAGCTGGCAGGTCAGATTCTGGCCATGGTGGGTCCAATTAGGCTGCATTGTGAGCTCGCTCTGGGTGGAGACGGTCTTAGTAGTCAGGGTAGTTGAGGTGGCAGAGAGAAGCTGAAATGACTCCGGGGACCACTGCAATCTGATCTGGTACTCAAAGCAGGAGAAATTCAGCAAGCAGGTCAGTGTGACCTTCTGGGACTCCCGGATTTCTAGAGGGAGCTGAATGAGAGGTGGAGGAGCCGTTTCTGCAAAAGAGTAGGGACCATGCTGGCAGCCTGGAAGACTGAGGACCGCTGTGTCCTAGCCTCTTACACTGGCCGTGGATGCCCAGCCCCAAATAACCCTCACCAGTCCATCCACCTCTCTCCTGGCTCTCCTTCCTCTGTTCTGAACCACTTTTGCTCAGCTGAAGCACCTTCTGAAAGGTCTTGTGGGTGCTGAATTGCCTTAGGAATTACAATTCATATTTTGTACTTACTTTATTTTCACTCCCAAATGTTTGCTTTCTAAATGTTTTCAAGATCACTCTCCCCACCACCCCTAAGTGAATTTTACCAGTTTAGTTCAACATGCATTTCTTAGCTTCAGTGATGACAAGCCTTCATTGTTTAATGGCCTTAGTATTGGAGGCACCCCACACAGCATTTCTTTAGGACGTTCCTTTAGAGGAGCAAGCCTGTGGGCAGCCAGCCTCAGCTCTCCCAGGGCTGGGCCGCCTTCAGACTGCAGGGTCTGAAGCTACATCTCTCACTCCATGTGTAGGGCTGCCTAAAACCCCCACCATAAAAAGAGGCTATGGAATGGAGTGAGAGCACTAGCTGGGGTGGAGGCCACAGATCGGTGTTCGATCTACCTTCTACACATGTGTCATTTAATCATGAAGGGCAAATTAGAATTAACTACCAGCATTAATACATTGTGAGACTTCACTTGAAAATCTAGAGTTTTATCTTCTCTTGAAAAATCAGGCAGCCTGGAACCCAGATTCCAGAATGGAACTGAGTGGCAGCTAGGATACTTGAGGAGGGAAAAGCACTCATGCTCTAGCTGGCCAGAGCTCCATTGTCTTGTGCTGCCTAAGTCACTCACTGGCAACCCCGTCCCCCCACCCCACCCCCCGCCCTGACCTCTGCAGGCAACCTGGGTTTCGGCCCCTGTCCCAAGAGTCAATTGTTTCCCACTTCCGTCCTTGCCCATGCCCGAGGCAAAAGATCCCATCCCCAGGGCCTTACTGGAGACGTTGAGGAATATATTCTCCATCCATTTATCAGCCCCTGATGTCGTCCTCAGCCCCAGGACACCGCTGTCTTGGGTGTTTACAGAGCGGATATGCAGGGTGCAGTTGGACGTCTCGTCTCCCAGGAACTGTATCCTTTCCTGAGAGGGAAACTCCTTCATCTTTGTCATCTGGTAGAGGATGCTCCCGTTGAAGTCCTTGGCCTTTTGGTCATACGTGTAATTATGGTACACTGTGAGGTTGTCCAGGACCTTTCTTTTGTTGTCCCGGGGCTCTCTTTTCTCTGGAATTTTGTATTGGCAGGGTATGCAGATGCAGGCCCCCTCCCAAGCGTAGAGGGTTTTAGGGTGCTCAAACTTCCAATCTTCTGAGTCAGAGAAAGCCAAGTATTCTAGAACTCACCACAGTGATCAGAAAGCATTATTGAGGGGGCATGGAGAGCTTTCAAAGGAATAAAGAAACCCCTCTGAAGAAAGAGGGAGAGAGGAGAGACACAAAGAGAGCGAGACACAAAGAGAGAAGCATATATACGCAGGTGTCCACAGCCTGGCCCCACCCTACCCCACATTTACTCTTCTCTGCCCCAGATCTTCCCTCCTCCTCCAGCTCCAAAGTCCTCCTAGAACCCACGTGCCAGTCCAGGCCACAGTCCTTACCAAGGAGCAGGAGCAAGGGGCCAAGGAGATGCATGCTGTTGCGTCTAGGCAGGAGCCTGGGGCAGGAAGAGTTCGTCTTTGAGCCACTTGGTCACTTTTTCTAGATGGCTTTTCTTACTCACCCACTGAGCTCTGACCCCTTTTTCTCAATCCCAGAAAGCCCACGTCTAGTTGCATGGTGGGTTGTGGACTTCTGGATGCACACAAGGCCTTCTCTGGGTAGGCCATGCCTCATCCATCAGCCCAAAAACCCTGTTGTGCTAGCCTCTCTCTCTCCCCAGCATTCCTTCCTTTCTTCTATCCATCCATCCACTCACCTATCCATCCATCCATCCACCCATCCATCCATCCATCCATCCATCCATCCACCCACCCAACCATCCATCCATCCATCCATCCATCCATCCATCCATCCATCCATCCATCCACCCATCCATCCATCCACCCACCCACCCATCCATAATTGTATAAACTTCCTGCTCTCAGGCTTTGAGTAGCACCAGACAACTGAGCACCTGGAATACCAGGCCCTGGGTAACTTGGAGCTCACTTTGGGGCAATCTAGTGAAGTTTTACATAGGGTTTTACATGGCCAAATCTTGATTTTAAAGACTAGGAAAAAAATAACTTTAAGACCAATAATTAAATATGATATCAGGAAGCATTTAGAGAGGTCTGGAAGGACTTAGGAGAATATGATCCAAGGGCCCCTCTCAGATGCCCCCAGGGGCTGGGTAGGAAACATAAATCAACCAGGTGGGGTCGAAGGTCATGTAAAGGCCATGACTTTCTCAGTTCCCACTAATTGTTGCCAAGTGGGAATGTGGGCTCAGCACTTCCAGATCTTCTACTGTTTTAAGGGAAGAAGCCAGATTATCATGTTAAATGTCCTGCTAAACAAAAACAAACAAACAAAGTTGGGCCAGAGTCAGAGTACCCTAGAGGCCTGGTGAGTGGCCAGGGTTCCATCATTTTTCCCATTCATTGAAACAGCCTCACTTTCATTTCTTTAATATAATAAATGTTCTGCTAAACAAAAACAAACAAACAAACAAACAAACAAACAAACAAACGAAACACAGTGATAGTCAAACAAAACCTGTCTGCGGACTTAGCAGCAGTCCAAGGACTGCCAGTGTACAACTGCTGCCTCTCTCTCACTCCCTCTCTCTGCTGAAAGCTGGCCCATCACCCTTACTAGACTTTTACAAAGTTACATTTACATAGAGTTAATTAAAGTCCCAATTTGCATAGCTGTGCTCTCAGGGCTGGTCCCCTGGGAGCTGGGCAGGATGTGTCCACAGAGTGTGTCTCCTGTCTCAGCACAGACCTGTGCCCCTTCCACCAGCCCAGTCAATGTTTCCCACGCATCAACACCCCCTGCCCCCACTCACCCACCGGCTGTTTATCTCCTCAGGCTCCGTGGCTCCTGCCAAAGTCTGTTGGGTACGCAGCACCCTTTGTGGGGAAAGCTAAGCTGCTGGCTGAAAGCAGGAAGGAATCTGTGCCCAGGCAGGAAAGTAGGGGTAGGGGTGAGGGGTCTGAACCGAGGCAGACCCTCCAGGCAGAGCTGACACCAGCTCTGCAGGTGCTGATAGTGCTACACACAAAAAAGTCTTTAAGGTCACATCCATTTGAGAGAAGCTGGTTTTAAAAAGTTAAATAAGATTCTTTACTGCAGGTCTTTCCAAACCTTTTAATCAATTGTGTGTGCATCATACATCTCCCAACATGGGGGTTAGAGTACATACAGTACATTGCCCACACTTTTTTAGCCATGGGAACTATTTTATGTGTTCCATGAAAAACTTGGCAGGGTTGCAGGGTCAGTGTTCTGAGGGATGCACTATGGATCCCTTTCGGGTTTCCACAAGGGCTGTGGCAGCGGCCAGATTCCATGCCTCATGGCGAAGACTAGCCTCCTACAGCTGGGCCATTGTGCCCCCTCTGTCAGCAGCCACCGGCTATGCCTTCATTGGAGACTGGCTTAAGAACTCTGAGTAAGTGGAAGAGCAACGCTTCTCAAAGCAGGGCCATGTGCTTACCCTAAGGAGCGCCAGGCAGCCTCTGGGACACAAGAAGTGGACTCCAGGCCTGAAATTGAAAGGCTGCTGAAGCATGGTGGAGTGTTGGGGACAGTAGGCATTAGGCACCAAGGCTCAGGACAAGGCCATGCTGTCCAGCCCTGTGGTCTGCTCAACACAGGCCTGTTTAGGGCCTTGCAGGACCTCAGAGCCAGTCTCCCTGGGTCCATTCCTTCCTCCTGGGCATCCAGTGACCCCTTGGGCCCTCAGCAAATTGGCCAGGCCCGGCAGGGATGCCCAAAGACAGGGCTTTATGAACCTTTTGCACACAGCAAGAGAGAGAGAAGGGGCTCCCCGCTGTGCTCCCAGCCTCAAGAATTCTGCCTGGTACACAGCGACTGCTTCATACTTGCTCATTGAATGCAAAAGAGAACGAAATAGTTTTACCTGTTTCCTGGTGTCTTCCCTCTTCAGAGACCCTGGCAGCATCTGAGAGTAAAAGAAGAAGCACAGCAAAGTCTCTAGTGACTAATTTTTACCCTCTTTGGCCACACCCTCTGCCTCTCTGTGACCAAGAAGCATGATGATCCGGAAAGTGGGGAAAAGAGGCAACAAAGGGGATGGGGAATTGGAGTCAGATCAGAAGGAACACTAAAATGTCTGTGGTTGTTTTTTTGTTTCAGCGTATGGAGTTTCTATACCAGATGCGTTTCGGAGCTGAGTCCTCCACAATTTCCCTCTATCCGGCTCTCAGAAAATGCTAACAACTCAATACAACCAGATTAAAACTACCAGCCTGCTGAAAAAGACACAACTCAACTTGAAAGTATTTGTCATTTAGTGACACCATCCAATTATTCTCATTCCCATTACTTTCCCTCCATAGGCTTGAATGGTAGAGAATCTGATCACTGACACTGACGCCTTGGCAGCAACCAAGGGATAAGTAAAAAGCATGTAGATGTCAGGAAGGGAAAAGATAATTTATGTGAAGTTATCAGATGAACAAGTCTTGAAACTAAACTTCACCCCTTTTATCAGATGTCTAGTCTGTGAGTGTTTGAGACCAGAACTAGATAACAGGCAAAGCCATGCAAATCCTACAGCTGATAAGGGAAGCTTCTGAGGAGTCTTCACCCTGGCACCACTGACTCTGACTGCAGGGCGTTGAGAAGAAAATAGAAAGAGTAAAGAACAATTTCTTCAGAAAGCAGTGATGTTCTGGGAAGTCCTAGGCCCTTTCGCTACAGCATTTTTGCTGCAGGTATCTTTGGCACAAACATTTTTACCACCAGCATTTTTGCCACAATGTTTTCGCTTCATAACTGATAAGCTTTAAGACAATTTTGTCATTAAAAAAAGATAAAATCTTGAAAAATAAAAGGGATATTTAAAAGGCGATGACAAAATTTAAAAGACTTTATTGTGAAATATAAAATATTTGAATACATTAAAAATGTGTGTAGACTCATAGCGATACTGTGCAAGTAACTGATTTTATTTTGTGCCTAATTGTACCTAAACACTTAGTTCTATAGGAAATGTGGGTTCAACTCTAAACCTTCAAGGAGAGCCTTTAGCCTCTTTTTCCTTATTTTTTATGTAGTGTGTTTTGAAATAAGAAACTAACTTTGGGAGACAATCACTATCATCTGGAAAAAATGCTAACTATTTTAAGACCTCCGCTACATCTGGATAGACCAGCCAAAGGGGCTAGTGAAGATTCATTTATAATATAAAAATTGGAGTAACTGTGAAAACTTTGTTAATGCAGAAATGAAACCAAATAAAAACACCAAACTGTCAACTAGTTATTTTAATTTTTTTTTACAGTGGTTGATTGATTAGTCAATGGAGAAATGAAACCAAACAAACAAACAAAAACCCCAAACTGTCAACTAGTTATTTTATCTTTTTTTATGGCAAAATTGCCTTATGGCCAATTAGATATGTGGCAAAATGCTTGTGGCAAAGATGTCTATGGCACAGATGGTACAGCAAAAATACCAGACATGGTTCTAGGAAGATGGAGCAGGTGTACTTTGCCCTATTTCCTTGTCTAAGTACAACTAAAAACCTTGGACATTAGAAAGCAAGCATAAGAAGACTCTGAAAGGTGGAGAGAAGGCATGCTAGCTAGGGACCTCAGAACCTGATGAATGATATGGAGGTGAATTTCCTGGGTTTTCTCTTTGCCTCATATAACCCAGACTGAATTCTAAAGAAGACAGCAACTGGAAATGCCAATGGGCATGGGTGAAAAAAATGATCCCGCAAAATACCACTTTTTAGCCAAAGAACCAGGAAAGGGGCAACCTAGGTAGATAGAAATCTTTCAGGCAATAACTGCTCTACCCCAGCCAAATACCATAGAAAAACCTGAAGCCTCATCCCCACCACTCCACCCCTGACAGTGAAGGCTGAGTGGGGAGCCTGGATTTCTGTAACAAAGAACCCTAGGCCTCTCTTCTACCTCATCTGAGTAGTACCTGAGGAGGTTGAGTATAGAGCTGGGCCCTCCATCCCCACTGGGCTCATCCTCCCTGTAGTGTCAGTGGAGACCACATGGGGAGCTGGAACATCCACTCCCACTCAGTGGGGATAAGACATTCCTCCTCTCCTCACTAGAGTGGTATGAGAGGAGGTCAAGCGAACAGTCAGGACTTCCACTATCACTCAGTGGTAGCAAGCTCACCTCTTGCAGTGCAATTTGTGTGGAAGCCATGTGGACAGTCGTAATAAAGTACTCCTTTCAACTAAGGTGGTAATAGTGGGTGCCTAAAGATGACCCTAAACTCCCACCCCTGCCCAACAATAACAAGGAAACTTTACCCCCCTACACATGTCAAGGGAGGCTGAGTGGAGAACCTGGACTTCTACCTGCACTTGGTGGTGATGAGACAGTGATCTCCGTCCTTGATTTCACTATACAGTGCTGGGGAGGCTTGCTAAAAGACGGATTTAAGTAAGATTCTACTACATAATACTAAGTCCTATTACATAATACCTCAAATTCCAGGTTCCAATCAAAAAATTATTCATCATACTAAGAACCAGGAAGTTCTCAAACTGAGTGAGAAAAGATCATCAACAGACACAAACACTAAGATGCCACAGATGTTAAAATTATCTGACAGATTACAAAGCTGCCATCATAGAAATATTTTAGTGAGCAATTACATGCTTGAAACAAATGAGAAAATAGAAAGTCTCAGCAAATAAATAGAAAATGTAAAGAAAAACCAAAAGAAAATTTTAGAACTAAGAAATACAATGACTGAAATAAAAATCTTAATGAATGGCTCAACAGCAGAATGGAGAATACAGAAGGAAGGATCAGTGAAATGTAACATAGAACAAGAGAAAGTATTTAGTTTGAACAACAAGAGAGATAGACTGAAAATAAATAAATAAACAGAGCCTCAGAAACATGTGTGACTGTAATAAAAGGTCTAACATTCGTGTCATTAGAGTCTCATAAGGAAAAGAGAAAGAGAGTGGAGCTGAGAAAGTATTCAAAGAAATAATGCCTAAAAATGTCCTTAATTTGACAAAACAAACAAAAACATATTTCTACAGATTCAAGAAACAGCAAACACCAAATAAGATAAATCCAAAGAAATCTATTCCAAGATACATAATAGCCAAACTTCTAAAAACTTAAGACAAAGAAAAAATATTGAAAGCAACCACAAAGAAATGACATACTACTTATAGGGAGAAAACCCATTCACGTGACAGTAGTTTTCACATCGAAACCCATAGAGGCCACAGGAAGTGAAACTTACTTATTTTTATTTTTTGGATACTAAAAGAAATAAACTCTCAACCTAGAAACTTATATCTAGTGAAAATACCCTTCAGGAAGGAGGGGGAAATCAAGACATTCTCAAATGAAGGAAAACCAACAGAATTTTAACCAACAGAGGCCTAACCTAAAAGAATGGCTAAAAGGAGCAATCTAAATAGAAAAAAAAAATTTTTTTTTTTAAAGGAATCTTAAAACATCAGAAAAGAAGGAAGAACATGAAAAAAGTGAACCCATGGGTAAATATAATAAGCTTTTCTTCTTGAGTTTTCTAAATTATGTTTGACAGTCAAAGAAAAACCTATAACACGCATTATGCTGTTCTCAGTGTGTGTAGAGGAAATATTTGAGACAACTATATTATAAATAGAAGGCACGAAGGGATGTAAAGGGAAGTGAATTTTCTATACTTCACTCGAACTGGTAAATGTTGAAACCAGTAGACTTTGGTAAGTTATATATATATAATGTGATACCTAGAGCAGCCGCTAAAAAAACTATTCGAAATGATACACTCAAAAACACTATAGATACATCAAAATTGAAGTTTACGAAATTGTTCAAGGGACCCACAGGAAGGTAGGAAAAAAGAAAACAGAGAAATTAAAAACAGAGAGAAGAGAGAAAACAAAAACTAAAGTGGCAGACTTAAGCCTTAGCATTAAGTAATTACATTAAATGTAAAGGTCCAAATACACAAATGAAAAGACAGAAACTGACAGAGTGGATAAAAAAACATGACCCAGCTATATACTGTCTATAAGAAAATAACTTCAAATATAATTATATAGGTAAATTGAAAATAAAATAATGTAAAAGGATATACCATGCAAATATTAGTAAAAAGAAAGTAAGGGTGGCTATATTAATAACAGATAAATAGACTGCATAGCGAAGAAAATTACCAAGCCAGTGAGGGATATTATATAATAAGGAAAGGGTCAATCCACCAAGAAGACATAACAATCCTAAATGTGTATGCACCAAACAACAGAACTACAAAATATGCAAAGCGAAGACCAATAGAAATGAATGGAGAAATAAACAAATTCACAGTTATGGTTGGAAACGTCAACATTCCTCCCTCAACAATTGATAGAACAACTAGACAGAAAATCAGCAAGGATATATAAGAACTAAACAGCACCATCAACCAACGTGATCTAATTCACATTTATAGGAGACTCAACCCAACAATAGCATAATACATATTTTTTTCAAGAACCCATGGAACAATATCCAAAGATGAACCAAATTTAAAACCATAAAACAAACCTCAGAAAATTTGAAATAATTTTTTAAATCATACATAGTTTGTTCTCCAACCACCATGGAATCAAACTAGAAATCGATAACAGAAAGATAACAGGAAAATCCTCAAACACTTGGAAACCAAATGACACACTTCTAAATAATCTATGGATCAAAGAGAGAATCTCAAAGGGAATAAAAATTTGTTAAAAGAAAATGAAAATAGAACTTCCCAAATTTTGTGGGAAAGGTTAAAGCACAAGAGGAAAATTTATAGTAGTAAATACTTACATTAAAAGAAAAAAGTTTCGAATCAATAATATAAGATTCCATCTCCAGAAACTATAAAAATATGAGAAAAAATGCCAAAGCAAGCATAAGGAAGGAAATCATCAATATAAAAGCAGAA